ATATAATGCAAAAACTCTGAGTAACAGAAAACACCACCCAAACTCCATTTAGAGGAATGAAATGTTTGCTGGATTAATATGGAAATCCTCTGTGGGTCTTTATCTCAAGGAGGGATAATTTGTGAAAAACTCAACTTGTTTTAAAATGATCCAAATGTAATCATTTGGAGAAGAGGAACATGACATGCAAGGTTCATATTGAGTTTTATTTATTTGTATATCTCTCTTTTGTATTAGGGGGAAAAAAAAGAGAAGCTTAAGCCATAGAAAAGAAGCCCATTAGGTTGACTCCTGACACTGGAGAGAAAAGAAAAATGAAGTCAGTGTGATCAGTCCGGAGTGGTGCGTGTAGGTGACACTAACAGGACAGCTTGCCTCCATCAGGCCGGCTAAGCCAGCGGGAGCCGAGGTCACTGCTTGTTAATCGTTTGTCAAAGTCTGCAGGGCTTTATCAGATAATTATAGTTATAAGTATGTTTATATCACACAAACATGTGGCAAAGCTACAAAGGATTCAGGCCCTAACACAATCTGCAATGACATTTTAAAAAACTACAGATAAGCAATAAATCATAAAGCAAACACTTCAGAGAATCATGCCATTGCTACTGCTTGGGAATTCTAGAATGCTTTTCTATCTTTTTTTTTTTTCTCCATAACCATTTAGAATCTCACAAAGCCTTTGTCCACATCCCCTCCTCTCCCGAATTTTCCAAGGGGTTGTAAAATAGCAAGAGGAATCATCATTTGAAACAACAGCCTGGTTATCGACTCCGTCCATATGAACAGACAAGCAGAATGTAATCACAGATTATTTTATAAAATTCATTCCCGAGCAAAAAGATCTGTGCTGTTCTGAAGAATCTACATAAACATATAAATAGATGTGCCTAAGGGACCGCTCTAAACCCACGAACCAATAGATGGCATTTTAAAATAAATGGCTTGTGGCTGCAAACGGCATCCATTTTGCTCTGTTTGGCAGCATGCAAGTTGACATGCTCGGGAACATTTCTCAACATGAATGAACTGTGAAATTGTTTCCTCCCGCCCCACACTCCTCTGAATTGTATTGGATTATGTTAGCCATTTCTGCACCCTGTCGTAAAGGCTGTCAGTGCCCCAAGAGGCAATGTCCCTAGATGTTGGAGGCCAGGGCCCCAGCATCTGAGATGCTACCTGTCCCTCAGTGTGTTAGGAAGAAATAATGGGAAATACCACCCCCTGCCTGACAATGCATGGGAAATGGCTCTGTCGCACACTTAGAAGTGCCAGGGAACGCGATAAGGTGAACCATATGTAGTTCAATTCCTAGATCACCATCTTCTCAGGAAAATGATTACCATTGCATCCCACCTCCGTCCAATGTCAAGTACCGCCCTGTGGGCGTAAGTGGATGATTTTACTGTGAAGAAAACAATCTATGAATATATGCAGTGTTTTAGCTATTTTCCACCTGGAGCCAGCTCTTCAGAAACTAAGTTTGCCTCCTCTGTGGGCTGTGTACTGTCTTTAGTTTTAATCCTGCACACACAGAAGAAGGCAGTTATGTCGCAGAAGGGACAATCTTTCCAGAGCACACTGTAAATGAAAGACTTTGGGGATGTTGGCTGTTCTGTCATTAATGAAGCTAACTGAAAGTCGGCTCTCTAAATAGATCCATAGGTGGGCATGGGTATATGTAATTTTAAAATCTTGGGTTCTTGGGTCTTGAGTAGTTGCGGATATTTCACTGGAGGTAATGTGGCCATTTCACTTCCAAGAGGACTGTGGCTACACTGTCTTGCTGGACGTGCAGCACACACCTCCCCTCTCTGCTGGGTTAGCATTCCTCAAATCACAGCCTCTCTGAACACATGCTGTCCAGGTACTGTCCAGAGACTCCATGTATAGACTTGCCATCTAGAATCCAGGTTATCCAGGAGGGTGTATTTAGAGACTGACCTTCTCACTTATATCTTTTCCACCTTCATTATCAGTATCCTTTAACCTTAATTTTAAAGTTCTGTATTTGGAGATCTAAAGCATCGGGTAGTATTTACTTATTATTTTATAGGGTAGTATTTATAAGAAATATAATAAACAAAAATCTTAAGAAGAATCATTGCTTTCAATTTTAAGCTGAATTACATGATTCATTTTATTCCATTTATAGGATCATACATGCTGATCTCAGGATTTTAGCATCTTCTGTATTTATGGCCCAATAATGCCTTTATGTCCAATTCTCCATGCTTCGGAATTTATGAGCCAAGAGCAAAGTCACGTAATCTGCAGGTTTTCTGAATAGTTATGTAATAATTTTCTAGGAAACTCTGGATAGCCCACTGGTAATGGGTTTGATGGAATTTTATTCTTTACTTTAGAATATGTCCTTTTTATTTCATTATGTAAAAATGTAAATTCCTTTTTGCTGAGTGAATGAACAGGTAATTGGTTGCACAAGATATACGGTCTTGCTCTCTTGGTGAATTTTCTTATGTTCTATCCTTTTGATATTCTAACTTTGGGACTGAACCAGTAAAAGGGACATTTGAAATCACATACTGCTACATCTAAATATTCATTTATTCACTCACTAATTGATCTGATATTTAGGAAGTATGTTTTCTATAGAGCTTAGTGAGATTAAAAATAAGCTGGGTGAAATTTTGATGGCAGGATTAGTTGTTCTAAGTCTACAATGAGTCTCATAAAAGTCTCAGAATCATAAAGTTAAAATTGACCTCAGCAAGCATATAATTCAATTCTTTCTTTCATATATGAGTGTGTTCACATTATTAAATGATATCGAGAGACTGAGAGACTTGTCTGAGATCATAGACTAGATTGGAGGCAGAATTAGGATGATAATTAGGGCCCTTTTCTCCTTTCAATGAAACAAAACCTCCACTTTCTAACATAAATTATTATCACCCTCAGTAGTTCAGACTATGAATTCTGAAATTTGTTATCACTTGGATGTCCAGTTACCTTGAAAGCTTACTTGTACATAGAAATGTTGAAACACATTTTTATATATACTGAAATTCCATTCTCAATTTTAAACTCCTTATAACATCTATTTATGATAGTGAAAACTCCTCTCACTGTGATTTGATGAAGGAACAATGTGATTTGATGAAGGAACAGCAGCACAGATCAGGAACAATTAGAAGATTAACAAAGAACATTTACTCTACCCATATCATAAATATTCTCAGCCCCAATAAAATTCCCATAAGCCCCTGATGGTCTCCTGGGAGCCCTGTTAGTTTTCAGGGCTTGGTTCACTGCTCTTTGCTTATTGGACCAGAAGTGGATGCTTGGCTCAACCTAGACCAATCACATTCTCTCTCTTGGAACGTAGAAACTGGGAATCAGACATAGTCTGTCAGCCTCAGCATGTACTTTGAACTGTAATATGTAAACTCAAGAGCTGTCAGACAGCCATATGTGGACTGAGAAGCAGAGAGAGAGCTGAGGGAGAGGAAAGGAGCAGACAGTGAATGCAGGCAGAGGGGCAAGGGTGCCGTGTGGCTGCCTGGTGGCTTTTTGGTTCCTAGTTTTAGGACCTTCCTGAGGCCTGGCTGACCCTGGGTTCTATGATGGAGCCCTATGTTCTTACTTAAAGTATCCCTTTCTCCCATGCCTTTTCAAGCTCTCTCAATACTAGCCAAGGCTTTTTATTATTATTATTATTATTATTATTATTATTATTATTATTATTATTATTATATATAACAAAAGAGTCAAAGAGTCTTAACTCAGACATTATGTAGCAGCACCACACCCTACAGCTAGAGCCACAGCGTTACCCTGGGTTTCGGTCTATTCCCTGGGACAATCCACAGTACAGGTTAAACAACTTGATCATTAAATGCATTTGGATAATGAGATGCAGCCCAGTAATTCAGACTCTGTGTCTGGAGCTCAAGATAGATGGACTTTTCAGTAAATTCCTAGTGTATAATAAACAGTGATAAAGTCATGTTGACTTGTATGGATAAGCTATCTTATCTCGCTATCAGAAAGCCATGTAATGCTATGTACATTTTAAAGCTCAAATTCAGATTTGCTTGTTTCTAATCAGCCTAAAATTCTGAGATTTTTTTTTCTAGTATTAAACAAATGATTCAGATGCCAATTGGTTTTTGAGGTTGTTATTGTTTTTCAGTAGTGGGGATGGAATCCAGGGCCTTGGCCAATGATATTTTTGAAATAATGAAATAATTTTGAGGTTACCAACTTTGGAATTGGGAAAAAAGAATGGCCACTTGAAGTTATATATAGACTCTCTTGATAAATTTAAAAGGCATATATATATATATATATATATATATCTTAAAATGTACTAAACATCAACTATCTATTATAATGAAATATTTATGAAAACAAACTAATAATGAATAAATAGACACTTAAAGAACGCTCACTCTTTGCCAAGAACTGTACTAAGAATTTTTCATATATTAGTCCATCTGGAACTTTCTCAAAATGCAATGAGGCAATTATTATGTCTGAATTATTTTGAGTTAAACGACTTGCTCAAAGCCCTCAGTGAGGTGTTTATTTTTTT